CCCCCCCCCCCCCCCCCCCCGTCAGTATCATCACCTCACGGGGCCCCCACCCCTCAGGGCCAGGCAAATAAATGAGAGCCTTTGCAGACCCATCCGTGGGGGGAGCAGCTGTGAGCGAGTGGGGACAACAGCTGAGGGGAGGAGAGGGGAGAGTGGGGGGCAGGGCTGGGGGGACGGCGCGGGGCAGACAGCTGTCGGCACTACATCACGGGCTGGCAGGCCATGCTCACCCGCCAAACAAACACGAGGGCTCGCCCCAGCAATCTCACTCTGGCCCTCAGAGCTGTGAGACACGACCGCCCGTGTGCGTGTCTGTGCATCCCTGTGCGTCTGTGCATCCCTGTGCGTCTGTGCATCCCTGTGCGTCTGTGCATCCCTGTGCGTCTGTGCATCCCTGTGTCCATGCATGTCTGTGTGTGTATCTGACGACCAACAGAAACCAACAAACAGGATCTTTATAAAGTATGTGACCCAGAACAAAAACACAAATAACATCTCATAAGATGGGTATTACTAGAGGAAAAATACAGCGAAAAGTCTAAATGTTCCAATAGTTGCACAGTAAAATTTATTTGCTGGCTTTTATATATATATATATATATATATATATATATATATTTTTTTTTTTACTTTTTTAAGCACAAGGCCGGCATGTCACTCAAAGAGCACCTCAGCCCAAGGGTGCGCTGATGTTCACCACCGTACCTGCTGTGCCCGTGAGTGGTGAAGGAGAGCCCGCCGGTGTGGAGGAATTTGACGGAAAACTACTGCTGGTGTGGTCAGGTGAGTAAATCTGGGAGAGAGAGAGGGAGGGAGAGAGAGAGAGAGAGAGAGAGAGAGAGAGGCTTATCAGTAACACAACACAAAAACAGCAACTGGCACAGAGAGAATGATGGAGCAGAAGGTGCCTCACACCTTTGCTGTGAGAGAGACTCAGTGTCTAGGACAAGTCCACCGGGGTCACACCTCCCAGTCCGGGGCCATGCTGCACCCAGGATGTGCTGCCCCCTGGAGGCTAAGCCAGCAGCGAGCCATACAGCAGCCCAGCAACACAGCCATTCCCACGGCAACACGAGCCAGCAGGCTCACCTCACTATAGCTCTTTATTTTACAGATTATTTGTAATCCGGCTGCAGCTTCAGATGCCAGCGCTGCTCCCCCCAGTGGAGTCAAGAGGAGCATGATGCCATCTTACAGACCCCCATCACTACATAGACGGTCCAGCAGACAAGGGGAGACAAACAGCCTGATACCGTCCTTACATGAGGGACAGGAAGGGGGCGCTCCATCACAGTGGGGCGAAGTGCAGGAGCTTCCAAAGAGACACGTGTCAGGAGGGCAGTAGAAAGAATGTGTGGATGAGAGCAGGAGATGTGCTGTGTGTATGTGAATGTGTGTGTATGTGCGTGCGTGCGTGTGTGTGCCCCTGGCTGGAATGCGCTGGTTCAGGCAGCTGTCTGCCAAAGCGAGGGGCTGCCAGATTTTTGAAGCCTACAGATTATGTTTTTAAAAATTCCACATGCAAAAACAGCCACCCTTGCTCCAAAATAAATTGGATTAGAACAAGCTAATCTCCTCAGTTTCATACTTCGATAAAGGGACATTTTGTCACCCAGTAAGAAAATATTTATGTAAACCAGGGGCATTAAGATTCAATCCATCTAAAGAGCTCTCATTAACAAAAAAACGAAAACACCCACCAGGATTTTATAAGCGTCAAAGACCATCTTAATGAGCGTGATATTCTGGGGAGGCGCGGGACCTGCCTTTTGGCTCCCACACCCTCACCCTCTCCCTCCCTCTCCATACGTGGCCTCCTGGCAGTAACAAGACCCGCCCCCTATCGGTCACGCTTCCAAGGCAACGGGGGGCCAATAAGGGCACAAAGAGCACATAATGAGCGGCGCACCAAGCCGAACCGTCACTCCTGGGACCCTGCACCCCCCAAGAACCCCCCCACCCCACCCAACTGTGTCCATTACACAGCAGCTTTGTCATGCTAATAGTATTGAGTCTACGAATACAAAAAGACTTAATTTGTGATTATTATGCCCCCTGAAAAGCCCCCATCCCGGCCTGGCCCAGCCCAGCCAGGCCCCCCTTAGCGATGGTGTTTGCCTGGGTGCACAGTCTGTTAGCCGCTCTGCCCTTTCTGTGTTTTTCTTAAAAAATGGTAAGTCGTGGCTTTAGGGCTCCAGCAGACATGATGACCATGGGCTGGACAGGTCAGCACTGGGCAAGGCTGGGCAGGGGAGAGGAGGGCAAGGCTGGGCAGGGAAGGGCAGGGCAAGGCTGGGCAGGGAAGGGCAGGGCAGGGCAAGGCTGGGCAGGGAAGGGCAAGGCTGGGCAGGGAAGGGCAAGGCTGGGCAGGGAAGGGCAAGGCTGGGCAGGGAAGGGCAAGGCTGGGCAGGGCTGGGCTGACTACAACGGTGCAGGGGAACTTCCCTGTGGAGGCATTTAATCCAGCAGGAGTGCATCACCAAACAGCCAGCCGCTGTTACACCAACTGGGAGCTTCCGGCCGTTTGCCCCAAATCAATGGCCCTTCCCCACCTCCTGTGGGGGCATCTGCAGGGCAATTGTCTGGCAAACGTTTAGGGGAAACACATTAAAAAAGGGACACAAATACCCAGATTTTCCTCCCTTTCTGTCCAGACGGGTTGATTATCCAAACTAATGCATAATCCCTGGGCTGGGGGAACTCGCAGCAAACACTTCCTCTTGTGTACTTCCCAGATTAGAGCCACAATGATCCAGGCTTAGCCCCAGAAAGGTCCACAGACGCAGAGCCCTTCTTCCTGAGCACGGTATTAACCTACAGAAAATCAACCCCTGCAGATGTTTTGTCTGGGACTGTCCCTTGGGGGGGGGGGGCACAGAGCCATAAGCACTTTGGTCAGTCAGGGGTCATACTGCAGAAGACTGAATGGTGCAAATGGCACCCAGACTGGCAAATATATATCTGTCTCATAATGGGCTACCTCACCAAAGCCAACGAAGAGCCCTATCTGTCTCATAATGGGCAACCTCACCAAAGCCAATGAAGAGCCCTATCTGTCTCATAATGGGCTACCTCACCAAAGCCAACGAAGAGCCCTCTCTGTCTCATAATGGGCTACCTCACCAAATCCAACAAGGAGCCCTGAGAGCTGGGCCGTGTAAGCCGCACCGCCTTGTTCTCATTCAGCCACACTGTACCAACGCCCGACACTGTCTCACACAGCCAGGTCCCCCAACCCCCGGCGCCATACTCACGGAAGCCAAGGCCTTCCCTAGTGCGTCGCCGGTCTGTGAGCTCCCGCCCCCATTGGCCCGGCCACCAGCTGCCAGGAAGAAAAAGAAATGTATTTATCAGATGAGACACAGCTAGCCCTGAGGAGCAGTGGGTTAGAGTCAAAATGATGTTCAACCTCGAGGTCATTCCTCAGGACTCCAAACAGCCGTCTCTTAGGCAACCGTACACTCGAATACTTAGTGGAAAGTGCTGAGCTAGCAGTGAGCTCTCAGGAGGAACAGAGGATGACAGGTACCCATGACGCTCTCCGAGGGGTTGCCCGGCGGGGTGTTGGAGGTGGTGACGAAGGCCGTGACACTGCTGGCGGTGGGCCGGTGGAAGCTGGACATAGGAGGAAGACTGGCAGTCATGTCTGTCGGCGACACCGAGTGGGGAGGGTAGTTCTGCATGGGGGATAGCAGCAGGAGGACATTAGATCGGCAGACCAGGGAAACCAGGATTGCCCATATCTGACAAAATGACACTTGTACAGGACGGGCACTCAGACGGGGACTAAGATAGCAGCCTGATGGAAAAAGGCCAAGGGGTGGGTTCCTACAGCCTGGGAGAGAGAGCCCGACAAATTGGGTCAGTATCAGGTGAACAGTGAGTGGGGAGTGCTGGCTTAGGGGTGCAGGCTCATCTCAATGGCCTTACCAGGCGCTCATGTGAGTGCAGGTTTCCATAGTTTCCTGACGGCGACATGTGAGATGAAGGACCGCCCAGCATCCCTCCGTAGCCAGGCTGACTGATCCCATTGGTGGAATTCCAGGGGTCGGTGGAATTGTGGGTCCCATCTGTAAGGCAATTAGAAATCAAGGAACATGAATCAAACAAACTGTTTAAAGCCACCTGTTCAATGTCCCTTAGAGCATTTGATCCAAGTAAAACTGACTGCAGTGGCATTAACGACAAAGAACCCCGCACCCCAGGCAGCACCCCGACCCAGTCGGAGCTGCTAAAAACCAGCCTTTATTGCTGTGAAACATGAGCCCCGTCCCAGGAACAGCTGAGAAAACACCACTCTGCCCCCAGCGAGCAGGGCGGGCCACTTCACGGGGGGCATGACGACTTCAATCCCATGATAACTCCCAGACACTGGAGCATCCCCGCTAGGAGGAGTCTGGTGCAGGAGGAGGAGACAGGGGCCAGGAGGGGAGGACCGGTGCAGGAGGTGGAGACAGGGGCCAGGAGGGGAGGACCGGGGCCAGGAGGGGAGGACTGGGCCAGGAGGAGGAGACAGGGGCCAGGAGGTGGAGACAGGGGCCAGGAGGTGGAGACAGGGGCCAGGAGGTGGAGACAGGGGGCAGGAGGTGGAGACAGGGGGCAGGAGGTGGAGACAGGGGCCAGGAGGTGGAGACAGGGGCCAGGAGGTGGAGACAGGGGCCAGGAGGTGGAGACAGGGGCCAGGAGGTGGAGACAGGGGGCAGAAGGCGGAGACAGGGGGCAGGAGGAGCAGACAGGGGGCAGGAGGAGCAGACAGGGGGCAGGAGGCAGAGACAGGAGACAGGAGGAGGAGACAGGGGGCAGGAGGAGGAGACAGGGGCTGTCTGAAAACAGCAGCGCTCCATCACGTCTACAGACAGAATGTAGCTTTATCACACAGGGGCAGCCTCGCCACATTGACCATGAGACCTTCAGAAAGCCCAGGGAGACGCTGGAGAAACACTGGAGAAAAGGGCCCTGGAGAATCTCCCCCGCAATGCTCACAGGCGACCCGGCTCGGCCCGCATCAGAGACCCCGACTCACCAAAGAAGGTACTTGCAAACATACTGCTGGGAGGCTTCGGAGATGGAAATGAGGGAGAATCTCTGTTGAAGTCGTCTGAGTTTGGAGAGGGAGCATAAACCTGGTAAAAGACAATGAACAGAGACACAATTAAGCCAGCAGAAATGAAAAGCACACCTCACACATACTGTTAGCAATAGTGTGAAAGCAGAGTCTCAGCACAGAATTTTTAAATAACTGTGTTCCACACAATCACCATGCCGCTTCAAGGGTATTATTAGCACTGAACACTAATAATAAATCCTCAGCAGCATTCGGACCACAGCAGTGCCAGTGTCACCAACCTACGGGCTCAGATTGGCCCAGACAAAGTCTGTGTGTGTGGAATTCAGCACTGGCTCGCAATCAACAAGCCTTGTTATGGCAAACAGTCCAAACAAACAGTGCCAGACCATGGGGGGGGGGCGGGGGGGAAGTGCAGCAAGATCACAGCCTTGTTCAGTTGCTAAACTGACACATTTGCTGAAAGCGGCTCATGTCGCAGTATTACACAGGTTGTGCATTTTGATACCCAGAAAGGTGCGAAGAACAAAAGGTGTGATTTGGAGCCATGGATATTCTAGACTGTAAGCTGGTTTTCCACTCATTAGGGGCAATTAGGGATTCCAGGACAGCTGCCAGCTATATCCACACAGCAGCAAAGCCACGGAGAACCCCTCTTCAACCAGCCCGCCTGAAACACCAAGGAGAACATGCCCCTCTTCAACCAGCCCGCCTGAAACACCAAGGAGAACATGCCCCTCTTCAACCAGCCCGCCTGAAACACCAAGGAGAACATGCCCCTCTTCAACCAGATCGCCTGAAACACCAAGGAGAACATGCCCCTCTTCAACCAGCCCGCCTG